TCCGGACAGCGAGAAAGAGCTTGCACAAAAGCTAAAAGCACAGGTGGGTGACTTGAAGTCAGTGTCCATCAAGAAGAACCAGCTCCAGGCCAAGCTTGATCAAGTCAAAGCACAATACGCCTCCATGCTCCAGGACATGCAGGACTTGCAAAGCAAGCTGAATGAAGGGCAGCAACGCCTCAAAACCCTGTCCGAACAGTACATGAAGGTGACAAATCAAACACCTATGCCAGCAGGACTGGAGCCGGAAGCCACAAAGGACTTGCCCATCCCTATGGCGGTAGAAACTTTCGTTTCTAGTCTGGGAATTGACTTGACCGAAGAGCAAAGAACTCAGCCTCATGGGCTTCTCAAGCGGCCCAAGGCAGATGAAGAAGAGATCAACAAGCGCAGAAAAACTGACGCCCAGGCCGCACCACCGGGGGGGGCAGTGTGGGTAACAGTTCAACCAGTGGGACAAACATGCTCCAAGGATATCTGATGGGAGGATTTTGAGGCACCAGCAGACACACCAGGTACCCTCCTGGTTTGATCTCCGCATATCTGTAGTGGAAAGCCCTGCTCTGAGAGAGGTTCCATAAAGTGTTCACAAAATGATTGGCATCACCTTGTACATTCAGGTCGTGCTTCTTCCATAGTCTGTGCAGTCCCGGGAGGGCATGCATGTCCACTGCTTCAGCCAGTTCAAGCGATTCTTGGACAGCCGCATGTAGTGTACCCCAGGGCTCAGTGTGCGTTTCTTGGAGGAGTGGACACGTCCAGTGAATGCTCTCCATGGTGCGTTAGCGAAACACCGAGAGCTAGGGTTCCCAACTGTCATAGAGAGATTTTGCAGGATACACTCAGTGGTTGAAGCATAAGTGTTCTGCATTCTGAACTTAGTCGAACTGGGTGAATGGCTCTTCACTGGAAGTTTGGCTCCTCCTCGAATGGTGATCACTTCCGCTCTGCGCCCGGTGCGGTTGGACCACGTACAACTGCCTCTTCTCATTGACTACCCTGATGACTGGCCAGAGAACACCACGTTGCAAACGCTGATGAATGGCTGGGCCAATGAAGGCCTAGGACCTAGGACAATACCTCATGGACGACAAGCCAATCCTGGTCACCCACATTACCAGGAACACCACCATTGATGGAGTGGTCACCAAGCACAAGAAAATCCTGAATCCTACAGGACCTTCACAGCGCCCAGATCACTCGATGGCTTTGCAAGAGCCTCCACGGAATTTGTACCAGCAGCCCTCATCTGCCATAGAGGACCCAGCCATGAATCAGGACACTACTTCGCGATCCTCATCTATCGTGATCTCATGTGGCTGGCGGATGACGGCAAGCCACCCATTCACTTGGCACATCTCACACCACAACTCGCCAGCCAGGTGACACAAGTCTGGGCAGTCCATATTGACACGTTCCGGACGACCCAACAGGTCATCCAGATGCTCCCACCAGCAGAGGAACCAGACTTTGATCCACCACTTCATCCCAGTCCACAGAAGCGACCAAGACTTGAACAAGCACATAACCAGTTGCACTACGCCAATGTCACTTCTTTTGGCAGACAAGTCATAGACTGGTACTGAAGTCTACATCTTTGTCGAAGCCCAACGACATGAGCAGACATGCCAGTACTACACGATCAGGGGCAGAACAGCCTTTGGAGTTCCAGCTTGGCCAAACGAAGACAACTCTGGCACTCATGGAGGAATCCTGATTCTTGGAGATCCCACATGTGGGCCCACACCCATAAAAGCCTTCACTCTTCAAGGATGCGGCTACCAAGCCTTTCTTTGGCAAGCCACCGAGCAAACAATCCTGGTGGCGGGGGTCTATGTCCGCACCAATGAGAGCATTCAGAGTGAGACAAACGCCACCATCATTGCCAAGCTCCTTGCCTTGCTCCAGGCCACCAACCACCCCTACATCCTCATTGGGGATTGGCAAAACAAGCCCAGCGCAATCTCAACAACTGTCTTGCCATCCAAGTTCCACTTTGACATCCTTGCACCAGACCACAGTGTGCTCTCCGGGAATGTCATCGACTTTAGTCTGTACCTTGGAGACCGCACGCATTGCTGACACTTCACCTTGACATTGAAGCAGCAACGAAGGAATACAGGCAGATCCAATACTTTCCAGCACTCCCAGCAACACCAGACATTGATTTCCGCTATCAGCCCCAATCCCAAGCCTTCGAGCTGTGTCTCGACGACCTGCCTACCAACGGCACCAAGCATCCACAAGAGGATCAATGAGTCAGCAGAGGGTCATCAGCACCTCGAATTTCCTGAAAGAATGCAAAGGAGCCGGCACCAAGGGATCACCACCGATCCACACCTTCTTCAAAACCACACCTCCAACTCAACCAGGAGGCAACAGTGAAGATGATGCACGAGCCGGAACAGACACCCCAGCATCCTCTGCCAGGCCCAGACCGAAAAGGCTGCATTTCTCCACGCCACTCACAGAGCGGGAGGATGAGCAAGGTCCTGCACAGGCCATGACACCCAGCCAAGAAGCAGGACCCCAACCCAAGAGCATCACAACTGCTCCACAGCCACAAGTAGCGCTCCAGACGACGGAGAGTCCAGAAAGCAGTCCAGGAACCCAAGATGAGGAGTGCCAGGAAGTGATGAACGTGGAGTACTTCTAGGCCAACTTCCTGGGGGCGGCTGCTGCGGCCAAAACGGCCTTCGTTCAACAGACACAAAAGAGCCACTTTAGGAAAAAATGCATACATACATACATACATATTTTTCAAAAAAAATATATATATATAATATATACATATCATATGCCATACATGGTTGGTGAGAATTTGGGCATTTGTCAGCTTTGCCATTTCCAATGGTTGGAGCCCAAAGCGTGGTTCTTTGGGGGGTCTCCTTGGACTTAGACAAAGGACAGCTATTGGCTATGCATGCATACTGTAATGTTGTTGTATGGGGAAATATTTATTTATGGTGGGGAACGGCGGTATACATATAATTAATGTGTGTATGTTACGAAAGCCAGCCTTCGTAGAAGGCGCCAGCTGAGTTGTGTTTGGCGAACGAAGTGAGGAAGTAGGGGGTCTGGGGGTTTGGCCCGAAATTGGAAGGAAGGTTTTTGAGGTTGAGTTTTTGTGCTTTTTGAGGGGGTGGTGATGCAAGAAATGCAATTTGCATCATTTGCATCATCTGATTGGTAAGGTATTGCATCATTTGCATCATCTGATTGGTAAGGTGTAGTTTTGCAGAGGCCGATGTGTTGTAGCTTCGTGCAGCTGTGAATGCAGAACCTTTGTACAAGGTCAAAGCACTAATGAGTCTTCAAATCCGTGGTTTGCTGCACGTTCCCTGGGTCCGCGCCTGGCAACAGAATTGTAGCTACCCTGGGTCCGTATATATAAATGCTATGTTGCTATGCCTCTTACACACCTATATAAGTTCAAAGCACGAATGAGACTTCAAAGCTGTGGATTGCTGTGCGTGTGTAAAGGTTACCGAGCGGCTGACGGAAAGGGAACTTGAAGTACTATATCTGGTAACTGAATTGTAGCTACCCTGGGTATCTATACCTGGCAAGGCGCCAGCTGAGTAAGAAGGGGGTTTCGGGGGGGGTGGCCTGAGAAAGCACGCTCGAAAGTAGGTGGTGTGTAGGGGTGCACGGAAGCAAGGTTTTGGAGGTGCTTTTTGTGATTTTAAGAAATGCAATTGTGTTCGGTTGCTTGAAGTGCTACTTGACAACTGAATTGTAGCTACCCTGAGTATACCTGGCAACTGCCTTGTAGCTGCCCTGGGCCGCGCGCGCCTAAATCTAGGGCAGCCGGGAGCCAGCAAGGCGCGCGCGCGCCCGCGCACCCAGGGTAGGGAAATTGAAGTGCGATACCTGGCAACAGAGTTGTACTTGTAGCTACCCTGGGTCCGTATATATAAATGCTATGTTGCTATACCTCTTAGACACCTATATAAGTTCAAAGCACGAATGAGACTTCAAAGCTGTGGATTGCTGTGCGTGTGTAAAGGTTACCGAGCGGCTGACGGAAAGGGAACTTGAAGTACTATACCTGGTAATTGACTTGTAGCTACCCTGGGTATCTATACCTGGCAAGGCGCCAGCTGAGTAAGAAGAGGGTTTCAGGGGGCTGGCCTGAGAAAGCACACTCCTGCATGCTGCCTTTGGCCAACAACGTGTTCGTGGACAAAGAACGCTGGCTCTTGTTTTGCAGTTTCTCAGGTTGTGTAGGTATATGTATGTTTGGTATGGTATGGTATTGTAATGTAATGTAATCATTTGGTGACCCCCCCTCGCTAGCCCACAAGAGCATGACGTTTATTCTATTCACTGGCAGCCACAGCAATCCCCCTACAATGGTGTTGCGTAACACGGATTATACGCAATGCATGCACACCTGCGGTCTTTACAAAGCGCGTGCAGCACTGGGACCTGGTGACCACAGCTCTTACACATGTCAGCGTTTACACGCCGCAACTTTTACAGAAGCCAGCGTTCACACACCATATTGCTCTACACAAACGAGTGTTGACGCAACACGGCCTCTGCGCAAAGCCGTGTTGACAAACCTCACCACACCAGATGCTGTAGCAAGCTCTCTTTGCGACCCAGGCCACTCTTATGCGGAGCGCACATGTGACATACCACCGCGTTTGCGCAGCACAATTTGGCACCAGGCAGTTCTTACACACCACAGCTATTGCATACACCAGTGTTGACAATCCTGCAGGTGCGCCACACCGCACCTCATGTTGCAGCAGCCCCGGCCAGTCTTATGCGGAGCGTGCGTGCAACATACGACCGCATTTGGCATAGTTTTGGCACCATCTGTTATACAGCCCATTACAGCCCTGTTGCGTTTAGCTACTGCGGCTTTCAGATATTCCAGGTGACTCTCTACCTTTCGTGTTTCCCTGTCTCAAGAAATGTGTGTATGTATGAAATGCAATGTAATTAATGTAATGTAAAGTGTATATTGTAAGGTGAGTATTTATGTGTGTGATTGTTTGTGCATGTATGTATGCATGTACGTATATGTATGCATGTCCACATCCATGGAGACTTTCGAGTTGAATGGGCCACTGTCATATTAGACGCCACCGAGTCCACATCCACTTAAATTACGTTTTCCCCTGGCACCCGCCACCGTCATGTTCTGTTAGACGCTTCCCAGTACGCTTCCCGTGTCGACGTCTCCGTCACTATAGTGCCGTCCGTCCGGGGCTGGTCACTCGACTAGAAGGACCGAGCACGGACTCCATTTTGTAGTGCGCAAGGTGTGCGCAAACTGGACATCGTTTCCTTGATTCTGTTGAGTCCTTTGGGGGAAACTGGCATCTATCTGAATCAGAGTCAGCATGTGTTGTTCTGCAGAAGTTGTCCTTGCCCTTGAACTTGGCACCCCATCCCATCAATTGGACACCAGTGGTAAGGGTGGCATTTTACACCGGCAGCATTCTCGAAACAGTAACACCTTTAAAGTCAATCGCACAATGACAAGCGTTTGTAAACCACGCCGCGGTGACGTTTGCAAATGATTGCGGTTGTTCCAGTCCGCAAACTTTGTGAGCACTAGTGAAGTGCATTTTCTCAAACTAGAAAGAGGCATGGTGGCAGAAGCTAGCGCTGGCTTTATGCCAGCCAGGTGGTTTGGAAGTTCTTTGGAAGCACCATTCGCCCGTTGGACCAGCTGGTGCCGAGCGATGCCTACCATATTATGCCTGGCGTATTTAGGTGGAAACTTCTCGATGCAGGTAGCTGTGGAGGATGTATTGGCACCCTATTTGGTTGTGAATCTGGAGCCCCTCAGTCCATAGTTTAGAAATGCTCGTGGGTTGGGTGGGGACTTCGCTGGTGGTTTGCAGTCCAACACCATCGATGACATCGTTTCCTCAGCTTGTTGACCGGAACCACTTGGCAAAACACACCAGAAAAAATCGTTTCTCAGACACCCGGACTATGACGAGGTGGCTTCCTTAACGGAGCGCATGGATCACATGGCCAACAAGGCACGGGAGCAGCGGCTTTTGGTCACAGATGTGCGAAAATCAGCGGGGTTCACGATGATTCATGCCAACAAGGTTTTGATAAGGCGTTGATGTGCTGAATGGTGTTTTCGCCTCCAGCAAGTAGTTTTTCAATAAATTTGGCATCGAATTATTTTTTCCGTGCCAACGTATGCAAGGGGAGCTCAAACAAATAGCGTGTAAATTTGACTCTGCAACGCAGTTTTGCTGGTAGTTTGTGCTGCTGTCATGCAGTCCAACGTGCATCCGGGCCCATGTACAATGTGCAAACATGCCAAGATGTGCTGGCCTGCAACACGACCGTTCATTCATACAACGTGATTGTGCTTGTCACCTGTTCAACATTGTTCAACGCCATGGCGCCCAATCACTCGAGCTCTAAATGTCCACTAACAAATAGCAGGTCCAGCTCGCAATTCAACAAAGAGGTGCACAAAAGTGTTGAACGGTTTGCATGTATAGTGACGCACAATCATTTAGGACAAATCGGTGAAAAATTAACAAACAAATAGAGCTGCAAAAGTCTCACACCTAGAACGTCCAAAACAGAGCGGCAAAACCCATCACTTAGCACAACAAAACCTCATTGTTTCTAAAGTCAGTTTGTTCTAAGTGCGTGTCAGTCACCCTAAAGGTTGGGTAAACATTTGACGCGATTGGGTTGAAATGCTGTAGAGTCCTATCGAAGTAGAGGTCACCCGGGTTCTCTAGTCAACATAAATCAAACAGCATGCTGGAAACACGTTCCCAGGCCAAAAAGGCACGAATGCAGCATGCATCGTTTGGGGCGTGTATATGTTCTAAGTGCAGGGATTTCAATTGTTCTTAGAGCAAGGCTTAGCTTAGAACGCTGATTTTTTGAGGTTTTGCCTTGATGTGTTGTGTTTCGTTGACTTTGTTAGGTTGCCTTGATGCACTTCACCCACGATTTTTGTGAGAAGCTTGTCGCTTGGATTTGGCAACAAGGGGCCAGCAAGGGCCGTCATGGAGACGGTGAACAAACCATGGGTGTCACTTGGGCAGGCCGTGCCAATGCCAAGTGCCCCATTCAGCCCGCAACGGACAGCTCCCCGGCGCCCAGTCACTCGATATATAACTGGAGAACCGTGATTTGTTACAAGTTATAAGTTGTAAGGGAATATGAAGGCGGACAGTTTTTTGTGTGTATTTGCCACGGCATTTTCAACTAGAGAGTCATCAGTGCTGTCAGTCTCAGATTGACCTTCTTTGAGTCCAATTTTCTTTTACAAGGCTGAGTGACCTCAAACCAGGGGATCGAATAAAGAGGTCACTTTGAAGAACCGGGTATTTTTCTAGTAACTAACACAGTCAGAAAATGACGGAGCTGGGGGCGAGTTATGTTTCAAAATGAACATCCCTGAAAGAGGTCGTGGATGGCATATCAGTTTGCTATTCAGTGTGTTCAACAGCCAGCCAGCTGATGTCTTGAGGAATATGAATCCCAGTTGCAGATGTCGCGGCTGAAGCTTAATGAGCTGGGTGCCTTGGCTGACATGTGTGGTTGCCTGTGCTGGGTGCTGATTCACAAGTACCTGGCACTTCTGGTTGTAGTGCCTGTGTTGATGATGCTCCGAGACTGAACATTTGAATGATAGAACTGATAGAATGGAACCGACATGAACCAACCCTTCGAGGCTGCCTTTGATCTTTCCAACTTCCCACAGTCGTTTCTGCGAAATCCGGATGTGAGACCGGTGCCTCAGCTTGGCCGAACATGTCGAGCGGTGGGGTGTTCGGTGCGGTCGGGGTGGGGCGGCCGGTTCCCAAATTGAAGCCCACACTGAACTCAAGAACAGGCAGCCAGGTAAGCATGAACTGCCTTGCCCACGGAGGTGTGCTGTATCTCTATAGAACTCTCTCTCTCTCTCTCTCTGTCTCTCTCTCTCTCTCTCTTTGATTCTCTATTTCCATATATATTTGTTTGTCCATGGGCAGTTACAATCATCTCAGGTGTTGCGTTGCTATACCGGTTTCTGGGAAACCAAACGGCCCAGCACGCACACACGCCCCCAGTTTCGGAGCACCTCGCCCAGGTAGCACGAAGACACGCGAACCCATCGCGACAACTCAGCTCCTCAACGGGGTCGTGGAGACACTTGCTTTCACCAGACGGTCACAGACGGTCACTAGGTGGTGTGGTCGAACTAGCTGTGCTTTCCAAACAATATGTGCCCATGGCAAGCAAAAGACCAGGGACAATGAACTAATGCTGCAATTAATTATTAAGATCTATGTCATTTGAGCAGCCTTTCATTGTAAGACCCCAGAGGGGAGATGTTGGGATTGCAGTTCAGTACCAGAAGAGGAACTACACCGATCTCTTAGTTTAGGGAAAAAATAACCAAGCAAGAACGGGGTCAACAAAAATGCGATTCTCATGGGCCATTCGCGTGTTGGGTGCAGTGTTTCACCAGGATTCTCCTCCAACTACGCGAGGAAAGCCCGGCAGCGCCATCGGCACTGGGCCCAGCAAGGAGGGTCGATCCGATCCGCACGGAGGGAGGAACGCACGGAGGTTGTTTTTGGATCGGGCGCCACGGGGGGAGCTTTGAAAACCCGTTGTTTGGACGGCCGAGATTGGGCGATCAGAGCGCAGGGGGCAGGCGCCTGGAGTCGAACGGGGAAATCTGTGGTTGGGGGCAGGAAAAGGAATGACAAGGATGGACAAAGGGAAATTTGAGTCAAGATTGTGTGAGCAAACTCTAGTTTTAATTTGTTCTGTAATTTGTCCTTTGCCAGGACCTATCGCCCAAGTTTGGGAACCCCATCTTTGAGGACGGCCGAGAGGAGAGAGGGAAGCAAAGCAAAGATGTAATGTGGGAAAATGACTGGTTACTATTCAAGACGATTTAGTACAAACAATGTTTATTTCCTCCAGTGGTTCGGGCCAGGGGCAATGATATCGATCACTGATCCACGTGTCCAAACTACGAGTCTTTATTGCCTGAAAATGCGAGGCACATTCGAAGCGTTGCTTTAGCGAACATATATGGACTATATATAGGTTTCTTTGGTGCTCCGGGTGCTTGTTCCACGCTTTCGTCCATGCACACGTTCGTCTCGAGTCCTGGTGCTTGGAGGAGTTCCCCCCCGAGTCCTCCAGTGTCGCCCAGTGTGGGGGCCGCTTTCGTCAAGGGTGTGGAGCCGCTCAGGAGCTGCGGTCGAATTGTGGAACATGGCACCTCCTAAAACAATGAGTGTTGCTCTACAATCGGGATGAAATCCAACGAACACGTGTGGCGTCCGGGTGCAATACTCAGCATGCGCCGTTTGGAAACGCGCATGCATCCCATAGGCGAAGCTGCGCAGACGACCTCCAGTCACTGCAGTCGATGCGAACGGATGCCATGCCTGAGCTCACAACTTTATATGGCCATACTTATCGCACATACTTCATACCTCTCCATGCCATCAGAATGCGAACGTAAAAGTTAGTATCACTCGCTTTCACCGAACTGACTGCCATCGGTCGGCTGAACTTGCCAGAACTGCGGAGTTCGGCGCGGGTCCGCCGTCGCCGGTGCATGTGCCGATTCTCGCGCCCCGGACGCAGCCGGGCCGAAAACACCGAGAGAGAACGGAGGCGAAACAGTTCAAGAGGAAAACTCACAGAAGTAGAAGCCGGTGTGAGATTGATCACAGAAGTGGAGAAATGTGTAGAGGAAAAGTGATCAGCCAAGGGGTGCCATCCACTTCCATGGGAGTGTAGAGTGTAGATGATGCCATCCAAATGATGTGACCCGACCTTGACTTGTGACGTTTCTTCCTTCGTGGTGACTGGCATTACCGCCTGAAGAGTCAATGGCCCATTTGAATCTGTTTGAATCAGCACAGTACGTTTCAGAGTAGATGGCACAGACCCCAGATGACTTAGACAGATAGGGGGTCCAGGGGGTCCATATTCACCACCGGCCTGGGAGTTGGTGGCATCTACTCTCCATCCATATTTGCATCCGAACTGTTTGGGTGCTTGGGATCGACGCTGCCCTTGGGGCTTCAGATCTAAAGGAGTCCTCCGATGTGGTTGACATCCCAATCAAGCTCCACTGGCTCCGGAGTTGAAGAGAAAAAGGGCACATGTTTCTCAGCTTGCAGATGAATTGAGACAAAAAACGCAAACCAACTTCTTACAAAGATCCATTCGCCAGGAGATTTTCCACCCCATCAACTCCACATCCAACCTGTAGGATATCCATCCATCCATCCATCCATCCATCCATCCATCAATCTCCATCCTATTCGCCTGGATGCCCACCAGAATCCTCACATCTTCTTGACATGCCTCACACCTTCTCAGGTGGATCACCTGCAAAGTACCCTGGAGTGTGGTGGCTTGGCCTTGGGCCGCGGCACCTGGGCCAACGCCTACCGCTCGGCACCCCACGGCAGTCGACGGCGCCAAGCGCTGAAGATGCTTTGCGAGCTGGGCATCGTCACGGAGAAGGCGGGGATTCGGTTGGCGCAACGGTTTGGGCGACCCCTGCTTCGGTTTGCCCGCAGATTTTGGAAAATTCCCAACGAACGGGGTTATTCTGCGGGCAAGACAGTGTCCGGATCCAACGATTTGGGTTCCTCGACTTGGGTGATGGCTGGGAGCAAGACACGTTGTGGTCGTGGATGTGAACACTGTTTTACCAGTTCCCGATATTTTGCAGATTTGAGGTAGGTAGGGTGTTGTATCAGACTTGTTGTTCAATCATTTAAGGCAGGCAGGGTCGGTGGTGATGAGAATTGAATTGAATCAGTTCAGCAGGACTCCTATTTGAGACCTGTCGGTTCAAGCCACAAGGAGTACCTCTCCAAGCTGTGTCCCAGTGACACTGCTGGAGCCCTTATTCAGACTCCCCCCCCGGTGCTGCGTTCACTGCCATTGTGTGTTTCTTGTGCTTGGTTTGCACCGGCCTGTGGGGTCGACTGTTTGAGCGCTGCAAACTGCCCCAGCGCGCTGGGCCCCCCGGCACTGCCACAGGAGCTGGCTGATGATCTGACCGTCATTAGCGATGAACATATCGAAGAGCGGCTCGGTAGATTGAAGCTGATGAGGTACTCTGTGGATCCACCCAGTCAGTGGATCAACGATATCGACGGTACTTTTTGTGGAGATGTTCATCGCTACAGCAGGTGGATCAGCAGCGGGCCGGAGGTGTAGACCACTGCAGGGAACCATGCCACAAATCGAGCGTTTGGATAAGAGGTACATTCCCTACGTCATGTTGATTTTGTGTTTGTTTGTTTTAAGTTGGCCTGGACGAGGGGCTTGATGAAGGTAGGAGTCATGATGCCTGATGCAGTTAAGTTTACAGCGTGCAGACCTCGCCCATGTGTTTGGCACAGACCTGCAGCAGCTCCAATCCAGATGCATCCGAGTAAACGCTGCCAATCACTATATATATAATGTTTATATATACATATATATATATATACACATAATACATATATGTCCTTAGAATTCCTTAGATGTTTGATGTTGGACAGCTTCCCAGATCATACTGCACCAGGGCTACAGACTCCCAAATGTTTAAGATGTTCGGTCCAATGTCCTCCTGGATCCCTTATCACACCTGGTATGCGACGCCATCTCCCCGGATCGGCGGTGGATCGGCTCCACGTCCAGGTGCGTCTCCATCGGGTTGACCATGCTTCAACGATGGCCGAACCATGCCCCACCACCTTTGGAAGCGAAGGAGAGGGTGTTTTTTGCAAGCAGAGGATTGGATTCATGAGTTCACGTCATAATCCTACAAGGAATTTCAACATTCTCGAAAGGAGGGGGTTGTTCAGTATGTTCTTTTTTCGTTGTTGGGGCTATAGCAAGTGGCTAGTTGCTGCGTTTGCTCCACTAGTTGCTCCGCCTGCGAAATTCTAAGAGGCAGCACAGACTTGATACTTCCGGCCCATTCATCAACCGACCGCTGAAAGGTAGGTCGCCAGTAGGTCACCAATTCACCAGACTGCACCAGACTAAACTGGGAGGATACAGTGGATTGAGAGTAGATGGCACAATCACCAAAAGGTGATTTATATGGATCCCCATCTAAAAGACATCTTGGGGGTTGTGCCATCTACTCTGAAACCACTGTAATTATTTAGTATATATATTTTTAAATATATGTGATACACATGATTGCACATGCATAGAAGTACCATGAACCCCTGGCCTCTGCAACGGGTCAAGTTAAGTCGGACAAGTGGCCCAAAACTCTTTAGTGCTCATCCCTGCGATCCCGGGTGCTCAAACTTCTGTTTGAACGGGCCTTAAGGTAATGGCACATTTCGACATGGACAGATTTTTGAGCTTGTTACCCCCCAGCTTCCATTTTATTCATTTGAATCCCCCAAGGATTCGTTTCAGGAATGTTTTCGTTGCGGATACTTTTTTTTTGTTCAAGGAGTCTTGAAGTCGAAAGAAACCAAGACTAGACCGTCTGACTCTGTCGGTTGTCAGGAGTTCTTCCAAGCGCAGCTAGAAGCGATGTACCGGGACAAAGTTCCCTCTCCCGTTTGATGCCGCCAGACAGCTAGAAACCTGCAGCCATTTGCATCGGTTGCGTCCTAAAGGTTTTTTGCTCGTGTTGAAGTCATTTTCATGATGTTTCATGAGCGCAGAAGGATTTTGATACCTGGATGTCATACAAGTATATGTCTAGAGATTGTCGATGGCACAAGAGTTTTCCCGTTTCGAGCACAATTTGCCGATGGAGTTGCCGCATCATTGCCCTGGATGCGTTGGCCATTCCTGGCTCAAGATATACATATATACCTATATCATATCATGTCATTATTTGTCGGTAAGCATTTGATGACGACAAACTCAACCAACCCATGGTGGCACGAAATTCCTCCACCATACATGCAGTAACCACGAGGCGCCAGTCTAAAAAGTGACTCAAGACGGGCAAACGCTTCAGCGCAATCACTACAAACTCTCGCAATCAAAGAGCAGGTGACCTACAACAACAGTCCCGCAATAGCAGGCCACCTGGCTTGTTAGAGAAGCACATGGGCATGTAGGACGACGGGTCTCTACATTCCAGCGGTCACCGCCATGGCATTACGACGACGGCTGCTGTCGATTGAGGAAGATGAAGAGCCCATGTTCAAAGTGAAGCCTGGGTTAAAGATATGGTCGATGCACTGGGGAAATGGCCAAAAGTAAAATGGCTGTCGACTTTATAGGAATACGTTTCAGCTTCGGTTGTTTATTTTCTTGTTGCATGTTCAAGTCTAAGCTCCTAATTCTCAATGCTCAGGCCTCAGGCATTCTGTCATAACACCCTAGATGAAATTCAGCAGGTGAACATCCAGCAGACTTGGACGAGTGGGAAGATCACAAACTTCTCAAGGTGCATGCTCATTGTTATCTCATGTTATCTCTATGTTTTGTATGCAGGTGAGGAGAATCATTGCCGGAATTTGATTAAGCAATATAGCCTTCATCTGGGATGTCGCTGCCCTACCATCGGGACACAGACCACGAGCCGTCTAAGGAAGAAGAGCAAGCTCAGTCGACAGATGGCGGCCACTAAGGTGGCTTGATCACTGGGCAGGTCCTACCCAGTCATAACCTGTGTAATCCTGTGATATCCTGTGTACCTTGTGGCCTGGGGGATTGGCTTCTTTGACACAAGTTGAGAACCTTCAATTCCTTTGATTCAGGGAAATCGATGGAGTCAGCCCAACATGGGCGTTGTCTACGCACTCAGTAATTAAGTTTGATATACTTGTTGTGTTCCACTTTTGTCAAATGTCTTCGTGACAAATAAACAAGATACAATGCCAAGATGATTCACGTTTCATGTGTGGGTCGGTGTCCGGAAAATAGCACGGCCAAGCGAGTCCATCAGACCAATCAGGAGAAAAGAGGGGTCAAAAAAAGAAAGCGGTCGGCGGAAAGAACGTTCCACGTTGGTTCATGATGAGTCCGTGTGTAGAATGTTGGGCGGGGCGGTTCTACCAAAAAGTAAGATGGACACCGGAAGCATCATTCAATCAACAACATGGTCGCTGCACGACTTGGCAGTGATTCCAAGGTGATTCCCTATTGGGTTCCTCTCATGTGGCGTCCAAGTTGGTGTTCGCTCATATTCATGCAGGTTCCATGTGTATTGGAAAGGTCTCCATGTAGCTTCCATGTTGGTGTTCCAAAAATTGGCCGTGAACTTCTACGTTTGTTGGCCAAGGTCAAGTTTGACCAATATTATGAAGATTTGGAAGCAGGGTGACCTGCAGTCAGGAAATGCGTTCAGTAACTTGTTCTCGGAGAAGTCAACGTAAGATATGTTTGTCACTTTGTTTGGCACATCGACTCCAATGCACTTCCATGTGTTTGCCCATCCCGAGAGCTCCGTGCCCGGCGCTGCTGAAATCAGCAGCGCTGTTCCAGATACAGCGAAGTGGGATAATGGTCAGCAGCATGTTGTTCAGCTTCACTTGGAGTTTTCACAGTCTAGTATACTTTAGCCCTACATTCCTTCCAGCAGCTTTGCTTGGCAACTGGTGGATCCAACGGTGACAATAATGATGAATGCAGTTCTTTTGGTTGCATATTGTCTCCGGTAATGGATCTTCAGACTTAAACTACCATGTTCATCCATGTTCTGGTTCTTTTGGACTTTGTTTGTCCCAGAATTGGTTTAAGAGGAATTCTGCAGGAAACTCATTTTTTGTTTGGGGGAAAACCATGGGTTTCCTGTAGATGTTCCCTTCAACCCATTCCGGGAGTTTGTGGACTTGCTCCGTCCTTTCGTCAGGCACCTGCAGATTTGGCCAGCTTCAAGAAGGTGAAGGGCGCTGAGAAGCTGAACGAATCCAAGGAGCCCAGAACGAAGCCCCGTAGCCCAACCAAGGCATCTAGATATGCTCAGGGCATCTGGCATTGAGCCACTTAAGATAGACTGGCAAGTCTAAAGTCAAAGTCTTTTTTTGCATCCTACCGAAAATGGCAGGTACTGGTACTGCCTGCGATGCTTGGTCCAACTTGTTCGAAGGTCCAACATTGATGGGTTAATACGCATACAGCTTTATATATAGCATTACTATGTACCGAAGCATCATTTGGAGCTGTAGGAACACGCGTTGCATGCCTGCAATCAGCTTGAAAGTCAGAAGTTTGGGTCGTTTTGTGAAGGGCAATTAAAACTTTGGCAGTGGCATGTGAAACAAAACTCCTTCAACCTCCTGGATCGTTGAACAAGGCAACAACTGACTGCTCGGTCCAACTGATCGTTCGAGGACCCACGACGGAGCCATCGCAGCAGCCGACCGGAGGCCGTTGAGAGCGTGGGAGTGAGTGAGGCTGCAGAGGAGAGCGTGGAGGGGGAGGTCATCACTGAGCCATGCGAAGGGTATGACGTGGAGGCAGAGCTCCTTGGCAGAAGTCTCGGGCCTGGGCTTTCAAGCTTTCACGGCAGAGAGACAACCGTTCGATGATGCGGCTCGATGTGTTTTGAAGGCTTCGATCCTGTTCTATCCCAAACTGGGTGTGAAAAGAACTTGTGCGGACCCAAGATAGGTAGAAAAAGTAGATGGCCATGTGCCAATATCTATTTGGGGGACCAAAAAAAGCAAGTTCGGTTCACCCAGACCATCCGAAGATGTTTTTCGATGTTGGGACGGCAGGGTGCACACATCTCCAGTGTCATGCTGCGGCATGCTTGGCTAGTTTGATGTATTGTGGCAGTAGTCCCCCAACAAGATAGTGGCACGATTGCCAATACATCAATACATGTTGAAAGGGATTTGACTTTTCTAGCCTATTATGGGGGTCTAACTAATTTGCAAGCCTGTGGAAACGAAGAGTTGGACAATGATAAGATTCCAGCGCAGGGAACGCATCCTGGCACCAGGAATGCCTGACCAAGCGGGCGTGCGGACCTCACCTGGCGGAATGCTTGCAACCATTTGGGGCGAAAAACATGTTCGAACCGGCTCACCTGCCACAGCTGGCAGCCCACCCATCCGCAGCCCGACATGGTTGTCCTTCCCTTCTTCAGCGGCGTTCTGCAGGGACCACGAGACCTCAGCGGTGCAAGCAGCGCGCTTGGCAAGAGCACAACGTGCTGCGGCCAGGGACACGGGTGGAATCAGAGCGCCCCCAGCGCAAGGACTGACTGCAATGTCAAATCCAGTTCCCCTGGTGCTAGATTGCTAATTAGAGCAGTGCTAGAGCAGTGGTCGCAAGCTATTCTGGAAACAGGGAGAGAAGAAGCTGTCAACGCGATTTGTGATCAAACATTATTGACATAGTTCATATACACATGTCACATATATGTATATAATAATCATATTAATATAGATAGATAGATCGATCGATAGATAGATAGAAGCCCTGTCAGTGGTACTGGGCGACTCCTGCAAGCTGTGCCCTGGGGAAAAGATGAAATGCGGAGCTGTTTGGTTTTGTTTTCCTAGAGCCTAGACATATCCTGTTTCTATAAGACGGGCCATGACAATTTCGGGGGGTGCTTGGTGGTCCAAGTGCAGGGTCACTCAGATTCTTGGTTTGCGGATGGTGATGGGGGTCATGTGACAGTCTTATCTTAATATCAACAAGAATAGGCTAGAAAAGGTGTCTCTATTGTCTTCTAGGTTTTCCAACACTTTTGGCATTCTAGGCCTCATAGCTGCTACCGTCCAACCATGTTGACACAGTGTTTCCAAGTCTAGACCCGGCCAGGAGTTGATAGCAGCGCACGCATCAAGGCGCTAGCTGCTGCGGCACAGAGGGAGCTCAACGAGAACGAGGAGAGCAAGAAGCAAAACTGCTGGGGTGTCCTGATGCCAGTGTCAGAGTCAAGAACTTCCAATGTACCCCGGACCAACCTCATGGACCCACTGGATTGTAGAAGAATAAGAGGGACTCTCCAGCAGTCCCTCTTGCAGGGATCTGACTATATAAATAAAACAAATTCGATGCTGAACTTTGGCGCTTATTTGTGCTTGTGAGGGTGAATTCAATTCAGCTCTATGGCTCATTATGGCTCTTCGGGGTTCTTGCCGTTATGGCGCTCTTGGATGGGTCCTACGCAGCGCTGCGCCGGGTTTTGGTATAGTATGGAAACTGGGTGCAGGTCCATGCTGACTCAGTCGCGGGTAGATTGGATGCGAGATCCAGCCTGTGGGCCTTTCGCTTGGATCTGACGCTCTCACGTCTTCCAGACACCGGAGGTCGAAGATCCCTCGAAGGACCCCACACGAAGTCAGGCGCATCGAAGGCCCATTCTCTGGTGCTGCAAGTCTTGACAACAACACCGAATACGAACTCGTTGTGGACCGATCACATCCACTCGCATCCACTCAAAAGGGAGCACAAGGGAGTCCAGGATCGCGTGAATGAACTCATGATGAACTCTTTAGATGTCGAGGGCGAAATTGAGGCTCTTTTTCTTCGAACATCTTCGAACTCAGAAGAGTCTCCTGTCGCTTCCCTAGAGGTCCGGTCGCTTCACCGGCTGACAGCTCACCGGCCCTGGCTCCGTCCGCAGGAGCCAGAGGACGCCGCCGAGGCCTGGGCGCTCCGGCAGCTGGAAGTGGGTCTCCACCGCCGGCGAGCTGGGCAGGCGGGCAACAGAAGTCTCCGCCGACAAGGGCGGTGTGCTCCACCGAAGCCGAGATGTTTTGTCAAGTTATAAGGAAGAGAAAGGAACAAGGAATGATATTTGAATAGATTTTTGTCAATTTATATATATATATATATTTATATAATTTAGAGCAGAAGTTGGCCTCTTTATTTGGCCCTGTCTGTCCCAAGAGCAGTATAGAATCAGTAGCCCTGGCTGACTGGGGAAGTGTGTGTGTGTAACAACCCCCCTGCTTCTATGAACTATCAATGTAACAAACACACTCCTACTGGGCCAAGGCAACTGTGGCAACTGTGGCAAGTGCTTGTGTGAGAAGCCCGGCCCTGCTGCTGTATATTGGAGCATTCCGGCTCAAACTAGCCAACCATGGCCATGGTCAATGCTGGTGAGGTGTCTTGGCTCCAGAACTGGATAGCTGTTGGATAACCTGTTCACCTAATTGCCCATAGTATAGGCCCATAGGCCATAGGGCAGTTTTAGTTTTAGGTATGGGGTCATTTCTTCTCTAGATTCAAGCTAGCTGGGTCAGAGTCACAGAGCTTGAGAGGGAGGTTGATAGGTCAGGCCCTTCATTTCTCTGATGTGATGTCCGCCCAACCCCAACCCCCAAACTAAGGATCGTAAGAGGTCTCGGCCTCTTGATGGTGGCTCCGATGGTGGGGACAGCGAGCATTCTGACGCCCCGAATCTTTCTCCTCCTGTCTTGTCAGTGCTTCCTATCTTTTGGCTCCCACGCTACCATGAGCTGGCAGAGCTAACTAGCGAAGATTACGCACAGCTGCGCGGCAAAAGGCCCTGTGGCAGCACTATTATTACGCGGCATATAGTAATATATAGTCATAGTATAGTATTATAGTATAGTCTTATAATTTATAACACCCATGATGTTGCATGCATCATACAGTCATACATTGATCCCAGGCTAGGGTGTGAACACTGCACTGCACTGAACATGCAGGATTACATGGTATCCAAAGAACCAATTGATGACTTCTTCTTCTGCTCTATTTTTACTAATGGGGCATCCCTGGCCAGAGATGAGGGTTCCTGGTTGAATGAGTGGGTGATGCAAGCAAAGGCTGTGGCCATGGCCCTGGCTACAAGCCTGCCGCGCCTATAATATAATAGCCTATAGCCCATAGCCTATAGCCCTTAATCCTAGGCCGCGGCGTATATACAAATATAAACATATGATATGATTCATGATTCATGATTGATTGATCATATATTTAGACATAAGACATAAGAGCTACAAAGCCACCGCAAATCTTGGCGATCTCAGGTTCACTATGTGGGGGGCATGTGAAGGTGCTGGAACAAGCGCTTACATCGCGAGCCTCGGCTTGCACTTGAAAAGGAACAGGCTGTACTGTATAGGGCCCAACCACAAACTAAGATTGTCTGGGCAGCCCATCCAACTCACAGCATGCCACATGTTAAGATGTTTCATGTGTCCTTTCCTTATTTCCCAAAAAGACTGAAGAGTATTCAGAAATCAGTCTAGTCCAGTATTGAATGCGGTCCAGCTTTTTTTACTGCCATGGCATGGTGGGGGAGTGCTCCAAGGCACTGGGTTCAGTTGGGCAGGACTGGCCAGTTGCACATTCTCCCTTTCACCAAGGAAGAAGATGGAGCAAGACCTTGGCCTGAAGTTCGACCTGTTATTTAGCAGTGAAATCGACCCTACGTTGAGGTGTTGGTGTACCAAGCACTATGAATGCAGCTCTATTTGCATTTGGGCATGCGCGTGCTTTCCCACCCAAGCAGAGGCAACAAAGGCAACTAAAGTATAGATCAGGCAATTGCGTTGAGGATTGAGGTTAGTTAATGGCATAACTTAACTTAACTGACACTTACTATACTGTTACTACTACTGACTATAAACTATGACTAAGACTATGACTAAGACTATCGTTACATTACTATTACTCAGGAAACTAGAGATCACAGTTGGACACTTGGACTCGGAAACCTTGAAAAACTAAATGAGGAGTCCACAACAAAAACAACCACAACAAAAACAACACAGTCACAGAACTGAGACACAAACTATGTGAATTCTTGTCATTGCCCCACAAACCTGTAATTTGTGATTTGTGTTTGAATGGCTTAGGCTTAGGCATAAGACCTCAACTAGCCTAAGCCTATGCACATGCTGTCCTTTCTACTACTATGACCCGGCTCAGTAGGTCAATTGTTTCTGTGGTGATGTTTTATATCAGAATTTGAATCATATCATATCGCGTTTTCCCAACCATTCGACCACATTGCTCCATTCATTAGCAACTAGCTGAGACTAGCGAGCTGACAGGTGGCAACTGACTGACAAGTGACTAGTGGCAAAACTTCAGACTTTGAATTTGGACTTGGCCGGCTGAGACTTGCATTTCTTCTCTGACGTTGAGCACGACATGCAGGGTGGTCATTGCCACGTCTGTGGTGGGCAGCATTCAGTCATCTCCATTGACGACTCTTGTCTTGGTGTTTTCAATTTCTTGATTGAAACAGAAGGTCTCAGTCATCCATGAAAGTGCGAAGGCAAAAGGTTGTGACCTAGGCATTGCAGCATAGACTTAGATGTTTTGATGAACTTTGACGATTTGTGCAGCTGGTAATTCTTTGCACTATGTCAACGTCAATGCGTCTATTGACTCTACTTACTACTGAGCTCTATTTAAACTATTTTATTGCGTGCATTGCATTGCTACGTATATATGGCCCTATGGCTGTTTGTGATTCTATTCTTGGTAATCAAGTTGAGTTCCGGCCAAGATCATCGAGAGAAAGTGAGAGTGAGAGCATACCTACAAACATGGCATGCGGCATGCAGCATGACACATGATGCACTTCCATTAGTGACGCGCCCAAGGATGATGTGGCCATCATCGGAATACCGTGTCCACTTTTCAGCCCGTTGAATGGCAAGACACGGCATGCTGGCTGGAATCCTTTCACTCAGAACTTTGGCTGCAATTCATTTGTGTGGAGAATGAAAGGCTAGTGACTGCTAGTCTCCTAGTCCTAGTGACTAGTTACTCGTGACTCGTGACTGACTCTAATGGCTAATGACTCAATGACTCATGACTAATGACTTCTACTGCCACTACTTCTGATTAATTGACTCACGAAAAAGTCAGGAGTCAGGAGCGGTCAAAGTGGCAAAGCAAAGCAAAGTTGTCATGAAGCCTCTAACCGAGTCGAAGTTCACCAGGTTCGAAAAAAACATGGACCCATGGAATCTGTCCACCACATTGCAAACCAGTGTTGCTGTTGGTGCTCCAATTGGTTTGGATGCACAACCAGGTTGAAACCAGAATCAAAACGAATTGAAGATGGGGACGAGGGACCATGACGAGTGTTTTGGCAAGGGGTAGGACTGGGCAGGTCGGTATTTCCTTTATACAGATTTATACAGTTGTTGTTGCTGCTTATTGCTTGATTTGTGATGGGACAACAACTCTTCTTCACACCACCAGTTTTAGGCCAGAAGCCCGAGTTGTGAAAGCATGCCTGGAGAAGATCAGGGCTCGGAATCCCAAATGCTTCATCGTTGAGGAAGTGCCTTGATTGCACTCATATTGTGCCATTCAACAGGCAACATTCAGTGTTCCATGCTTTAGGTCCTGTACAGTACTGGCTGTAGGGTCTGCTTTGCGCTGCAATGATACAGATACTGATACAGATCTCAGATAGTTACATGATGCATGCAATTGTGTGTCCGTTTGTATGTATGTGACTGAATGTATGTGTTTAACTAGACAAGTGTCAGTACACCATGATTCAATGTTCAAACCAGGTTCAGGATGTTCAATGCGCCCTGTGATTTTTGGTAGATTGCTCTGCTGTGCTTGCTGAAACTGGCTAAGTGTTCCAATGTTTTTTTATCGACTGATTTGATTTAGCACATTTTATGACGAATCAGAAGAAAATGATCAATGACATCCATGTCACGGTCCATGAAGCATGAATGGCGAATGTAAAGGCAGAGGCAGCGGCATGTGTGCTCAAGGTTGCACAAAAGAGAAAAAATGAAGACAACTCAACTAATTAACACATGCGCAGTCACCATTTAAAGACTACCAGCACTGCAATATACTGCAATGATATCTCAGTCCTCACACACTGTTAAGTAGATAGAATGACTAGGGCTGATCGAGGTAGGTTGTGACCCGGTTTGATGAACGATAATAAACCAGTTGTAACAACAGCCTGCTGTGCCAATGTGGCAAATATTTGTCAAACCAGGTGTGGTCTATCACGCGTCCCTTTGGTGAACCACTGCCAAACGAGTGGCGCAAGTACAAGGCGCCCCGCAACAGGGACTGTACAGAGTCAGAGTCAGATTCACTTGAACGCTTAAGTTATGGATGGACACAGTCATAGTTCGGGACGTGGTTCAGTGGCAGGAGATAGGAGTTTTGAATCTGTTATCATATGTTGCTGAGCTCAGTCCTTTGAACCTGTCCGCCCATCAGTTGCTCAAACATGAGACAAAGGACTGGACTTGTGAGAGTTCCATCACACTGACAGTGACCACGACAGGACAGCTTCAGTGACAACCATTTTTCCTTTGCCTGATCTCTCTATATGATAGGAATTGTCCATGATGAATGATGGCGATTCACAGGTCATGTTCACCAAATGGTTAGTTGTTGACTTATCAAATCATATCATCATATCATTTCAGAAGATGTGATTGATGGATTGATATGACCCATGGTGATCAGTGATCAGTGATACAATAAGTGATAGACCGACGGGACGTGACATAGATGATAGAACACGCAGACTATAATGACTATTAGACTGGGCCTACAAAGGTTATAAGTTATTATAAGTTATAGTTATAGTTATAGACTATGACTATGACTCATGACTATTACTATTACCATTATGATAGACTAATAGTCATAGTGATAGTCATGGTCTATTGTTTAAAACTATATGATGATGGTATCACGGTATCATATGATCTGATA